CGTATGTAGACGCAGGAGAGGATCAGGAAGGGCACCACATACTGCAGAATGATGGTGAAGATGCCGTAGGCGTACTTGATGTGCTGCAGTTGAGGAATCGAGTTGGAGCTCTCAGTGCACAACTTTCGCTGTTGAATGGAAAAACTCGTAGTGACGGAGGAGAATGCTAGCATTGGACTGGCCATTATGAAAGCGATCAACCAAATTAGTGGAAGAACAAACGCCGGTTTGTGCCAGGGACGTTTAGAACGCAACGGATGTATAATCACCTGGAGGATAAAAAGTGGCAACAGTTAAACAGTGATCAGCGCTTCATGTTAATAACTGCACTAAAAGCATTTGAATAATCTTGTTGATCAAACTTCGGTGTTCGCCTATCTACTTGGAGTTAAATAATACCGTTTTGTTTCAGGTAATTATGGTAAAAAAGGCATTTGCAAGCCTATTATAAAATGTTAATCCGGGAATAACTACCTACGTTCTTATAAATTATGACGAAGATTAAGGTAAAAATGTTTATAATTACTAACCGTAAAACGAATAGCTTTTTTGAGTTATAGCAGAGGTTCGAATCACGCTTATGGTTATTTTTAGGGTCAGGATAAGTAAGGAGAACGTTATATTGTAATTATAATTAGGGTCGGGGTAAGAGGTAATGGTAAATTTAAGACAAGGGCTGCGTGCTCTTTCAGACTAAAATTAAGGCCCTCTGAAATGTCCGGAAAATGTTTATTAATACCAAACCCAAATGAAAGGTCCACGTTGAAGCTAGATATTTATGTGTTGAAAGATAAGCGTCACAAGAAATATCTTCCTCGTTTTTAAGATAGTACTTAAAACCTCGAAAGGACAACGATTAACATTTACGAGAGCTTTATGTAAAAGATTTGCTTAAACACAAAATAACAAGTAGAAAAGTTCATCACAGGGCAGTATACTTTTTATGCAATGAACGTAGCCTAAAAGTGTCGGTATTATAAACAGCTTATTTATTTAACTTGCCAATATAATTACAGGTTGACTATCGAGGCATGGTTCAAGACTTAGTATGAACATTACCTTCATGGTAAATGATCACATGGCACACTCTCCATAGGAACCTAGTGCGTAATTACACCAAAAAAACGGAAATAGAAGATATATTGATAGGTGTATCCGAAGTCTTACGCCAAAACAGTAATAAAACTGTTCAGACGACTGCTTTTGTGATAGTTTTCGTTACGATGCTCTCCTTCCGGAAAAAGTTAACGAACTATAGCGCAAATTACATTGCCACACGATCTTGCCCTGCCTG